TTAAACTTTTGCTCTTACCAACAACGTTGCAATGAATAACAGTGTACATGTGCCACTGCTCACAGGTGCAGGTGTATCCAGAGGAGAGATTCCCCGAAGTGGGACCCAATCCCCACCGAGGGGCATTTAGGTAATTTACAGTTTCTCACAGCGATATACATGTTTTTCAGGAATTTCTTTAGAATAAGATTTTAGGTTTTTAGGTTTAAATGGTGTGCTAAAATACCCTCCAGGGAGTTTTAATTATTGATAAGTAGGTGAGTAGTCTTTTCCAGCCTTTATCCATTTTTGTATTACGGTATATATTTCTTCCCTACTCATTTGTAAGGCATCTCTGCGTAAGAAGAATGTGAACCTGTGTCCCTCATACTGCGAGACATTTCCCAGGTTTATCACCGTTCTACTTTGGTGACATGGTGACCACATTTTCAGTTGGTTGATTTGTTAGTTTGCTTTTACACGAATAAGTTTTCCATTTCATGAATAAAAACCCTTCAATATCCTGCAGTTTCTCACTGTGGAATCTTGTTTGGACATGTCTGCTCCATCCCTTTCTATCTCCATCCCAGGATCATGAAATATTCATACACACATGCACTACAGGTATATACACACATGCACGTGCACACACATGTATGTACACACACATGTGCATATGGACACACACAGATTCCATCGTGATTCTTACACTTATCTCTTTAACCCACCTCAGTTTATCTTTGCATATGAAGTAGCTTTTGAAATAAGCCCTCCTTTATCTGTGAATATAAATTGCGACCTTCCTGAGAGAATGACTCAGAGATGTCCAAAATTATTAGAGCTTTGACTTCTCAATTAACCTAAGCAGAGCCCCCCCACTCAAGCCCCAAAATTAAATTAGTTGGTGTATGTTTTATAACTATCAAAATTGAATTCTCCAAATCTAGTATCTCAAATACTAATACAAAAGCTAATTTAAAAATCCAGTAAACTGGATTCAGTAGTAACTTGAAATTTGCATTTCACTTATAGTAATTCTCAAAGGTGTCCACACATGGGCAGGCTCCGACCCAGGGCAGACGGGATCTGTGCGGTCCCCGGATCCATCTTCCTGATCAGTCTGCACAACCGCTGAGATTCCTGCACCGAGACAGAGGGCACAGGTGTTTGCTGTTTGTTCTGCTTCATTTTTCTTTCTAGAGTGAAGACTTTCCCTTACCTTGGGCTGTTTTAGAGAACACAGAAGGTGAAAGCAAAGATCCCTGTCTGTATAATAAGGACGTGTATTCCATTATTAATGAGGGGACTGACTGTTTTCTCGGTTTAGCAGCAGGAAGACAAGACGGTGTTCAACAGAATCGCTGTTCCAAGAGGTCAAGCATTTTGAACACCTGCAGCCTTCACAGAAGGGGTTTTATATTATACGCTCAAAACGACCGGTAGCAGCCAATTAAAGACCCAATCTTCTCCCAGGACTTTAGCCAGGCGGCTTGAAAAAGGGCTGCTGGTCCAACACACTTTATGTGAGTGTTTATCGTGAGGCAGGAGGTGCATGAAATTCCTAAGGTTTTAGCGTGCCAATGGGATAACTCAGTGATGAGAATGTACATCCACACTTATCAAATTAAAACGGAGGTATAATTACTAGGTTCATCTCACTATTTCATTCGCATTCTTGAATATTGTTAATAGAAGTTGTTCGTGGATACCAAGAGGAGACTAAAAGCCTAAAGGAGCTCAGCAGACGTTAATTCTTATTTTTGTCATTGCAATCACTGTGGCACCGTAAGACGTTCTGTGGGTCAGCTCCCGCTGGTGAAAGTTTTGCGGTGTAAAAGGGGAGACACATTCAGTCACTCTTAAATCTGACACTTTCAAGTATATTTTAAATACAACTTCAGGACTATCGATTTTGCTTAAAATAGTCTTTGGGTATAAAATAAACTCCAGAATGAATATGGTCAACTGTTTGTAATTTACTGGTGGAATAGCAGATGAAGTTAATTTAAATGATCTCCACACCTTCTCGCCCGGCAGCAGCCCTGAGCATCCCCATTTGTCCCAAGGCAGCTCCTCGGAGGGACCACGGGCAGAGGCTGCAAGTCCCGTGGGGACAGGAGGTGAGCTGACCACAAGGTGAATTTTGATTCCTCTGATTACTTGTCTCTTTTCCAAAACATAGGTTTGCTAATCTGGGAATCCCCACCGGCTCCTTTTATTCCATAGTAATATCCCCATAGTGACATTATTATAAAATATTATTTTCCTTTCCCTAGAATATCATGCCGGTCCCCAGGAGCATGCTCCTGCCATCAGAAGGAGAAATACTTTCACTGGGCATGGGATTAAAATAACTTTTCATTTCAAGCCCTTGGTCACTTACGTGACCTTCAGACCCTCACTTCTCTGAGTCAGGGTTCTGTTCCATAAAACGGGCACAGTTCTAACTTCCCGAGTGAATAGTTGAGCTTCTGTGATGTCATTTAAAAGGAAAATAGATGAAATTGCATTTAAATCTATAAAATTCTAACAAATGAAAGATGTGCTAAGATGCTAACAGGCAATAATAATGACGTAATTGACGTACCTCCCAGCAGCATAGCTTATTTTTTTAACAGAAATTCCATATTTAACCCCAAAGAGCGACTGACCACGGGAATTCCACGGACTCGGCAAATCAGCAGAGGAGTCCCGTGGGTCACGGCACCATCTGGACGCATCACAGGGCACTGACCTCTCCACTTCATTATCTCCACCGAGGATGGAGCCAGATTTCGGAGAAGAGGATACTTCTCACACTTATAAATAGAATTTAGCATAGTGCCCCAACCTTTGTTGGATGGATGGACAGAGGGATAAATTATAGAATAAAGGACAGGATGCCCCCAGCTGGTGGGCTATCTCTGCAGATGGAGAGGACAGCGGTGTGGGAGGCAAAGGCAGAGGTAAGTTTGAATTTAGAACAGGAGCAGCTGTTGGGCAGCACATTTTATTTTCCTCAGTTTTACCAGGTTTGAAGCAGTGGTATGTGTCCTGCCGGGGACTGGGAACCATCTGCGGAGGGACGCCCCGCTTGTTTCCACACTTGGACGGAGGGTTAAGTCAATGTTTAGATTTCGCTCTAGGCCGCCCTTGGCCTCTTCATCACTCCGTTGGGCTTTCGAGGGAATTGTTACTGTATTGGGTAACGATGTACATTCCTTTCATTGTCTTGTGAACGTTGTCAGCACTGGCGCCTGTGCAGGATCCCGGGGGAGTCCCTGAGACGAGGGGAGGGACGAGAAGGGTCTCTCACACTAAAGGAGGCAGTGATGGCAGCACGGCGAGGAGAGCTGGGGGGTGGGGAGACAGGATGCCTCCAAGCATGAGGGGTGGGTTAGCAGGCACCGGGGAGGAGGAACCTTGTTAACATGAAAAACTGCAGAATTCTTAAAAATTCCTGACCCCTGCTCACGGTGGAAACACTGTCTGCTTTTTTGGTTTCTTTTTCGTGGCTTGCTGTTAACACGTACAATCATAAAATGAATCACAAACTTTCAAAATGAGAAGTGACGTCAGCGGCCACCTACCAGGTGGTTCAGCAGCCCGGGCCAAGGATGGGCGTCAGCGGCTATGAGCCCCCAGGCCTGCTAAGCACAGCTGTTGCCCAGGGAGAGGTTTCAGATAACTCAATTCTCACCCGTGTCTCTAAGCACACCACATAGAGGCGGGGACACCTTGTCTAGTCCAACTCCTGACTGTGGGGGTGTTGGGTCAGTGGACCGCCTCTGGGCTCCCACCCGCTCCTTCCAGTTCCCAGCACAACCTTCCAGCAAGAACTGCTCTCCTGCTGTTTCTTTGCTCACTGGGCTCCCTCCTCGTTTTCCCTCCAAGTCTGCGGGCTCCTCCAGGGCGAGACTCAGGCTTGGTTCCCCGTCGTTCCTGAACCACCTTCCCCGACCATCTTCTCTGTGTGAGGCAGAGCGGAGACTGGTGGATGGAACGAGACAGCCTCACCCGCTTCCTGTCTGCCGCTCTCAGCACGATCGCTGAGGAATTTACTCGTCCTAGGCAATCAAGGGATGGCTCACGTTCGGTATGTGTAGATCGAGTTGCAATTGAAAATGTTTATTTTGCATCCTGCGAGCTAACATTAACGAATGACCGGATTTAGTGGGAGAAATCACTCCATCATTTCTCCACCCCGTGGGCACCGGGCACTGGAGTGAATGACACAAAGATGGCGCCTTAGTCTGTGGCTTCACCGTCTCACCTACGCGTTACAATGAACGATGTGTGCAACATCACTTGTGTTACAGTGAACAACCCTGCACGCAACACTGGCGAAGCATCGGGAAGCTGTTTCACCCTGTTGAACTTTCACATGGGATGACGGACAGCTTGCAGAGGGAAAAAACAGACCGTCCTTTGCATTTACCTCCAAACTCAGCTGGTAGGACCAGATGTACATAACAATGTGACTGTTAAGAGTAAGAGTCTTATTTTCATAGTTCAGATGAATAGCCAATTTCCAAAATAGTTTTCTCGGTTTATATTTTGGAAATTAGTTAAATTTATCAGTAATATGGCTTCAGACCAATATACAAAGTGTATGCTGTTATATTTGTAAAACTAATCCATTTCCTGCCTCCCACAAAAAAAATGTTGCCCACAAAGGCACATACAAAGTTATAGTAAACCAGAAATTCCCTACTATGATGCTCACGCACACACACATATGCTCCTGATGAAAATAACGAATGATCTGAAAAGATACTGATGGATCACACTGGCTATGGTAATTTCTTTAAAATTAATATTTGACATAGAAATTGCCCAAGTATATTTCCTTAATTACTATGTAATAGACAAATAACCAAAAGCATGATTTTTTTAAATGGGCTTGAAAATGATGGCCATAAAGTCTAACTTTTTTGACTCAGGAATTGATGACAACCGGCCCGTGCTTAGACCATTTTGAGGAGACAAGGGTTCTGACACAGTGGAGGAGGGTTCAGAAGAGAAGACGGGTCAGGCCTTACGTTTGCAGGTCTCCGAGCGGCCTCTGGCTCAGGGACCGGAGCAGCGGCTCGGGCCGGATGGCCGTCTTGGGCGACGTCTTCGGGCTGGAGTCTGACTCTCCGCTCTCCTCGTCGCCCATGGCTTTGATGTAGCTCCCGCTCCTCATCCTCCTGCAGGGTATCTCCTCATCCTTGCCCCCAGTGGGGTACCCTCCCCACTCATCCTGAGGCACCTGGGAGAGAAGAGACACACAACATGCATCAACCGTGTCATTAGAATCCCGTAACTGGCTCTTCTGAGGGAGCAAATTCTGCACGATTCCTTGAAGACACAGCTCTTTATGGTCATTTATCATCGAAAGTCAGGTGCATAAAGATAGATGCTTCTTAGCACTCTGTCATTCAAATCCTAAAAGGACATTAATATAAAACCATTGTTTTTTTTCCCTTACAAAAGTGACAGATGAACCTTACGGAAGAAGTGAGAATGTCATGAACATGGAACGAGTGAAAACCCCGCTTGTAATCTCAGGACCTGGGAAAAAAACCACTGCCTCATATTTAATTTATTTCCTTCTGGTATAAAAGGAAATTGAAACCTGAGGAAACTGGAGAAGAAAGAGTTATCCAGTGTGGAAAAGAAAGGAGAAACATAAGAGAAAAAGGAGGAGAGCAGAGGGAGAAGACAGTGCCCAGATGATTGGAAGTTCACCCCTTAAGAGCAGGTGATAAAGGAGCGGGGTTAGCTCTAGAAATCAAGCTTATCATCCACACTCTCTCCGCCCTGGTCACATCGCATGCTGCTCAGTGCAGAACCGAACAACTGTCCTTGTTGCGCATCCCATCAGGGCCCCCACACAAACCTACTCAGTGCTTGGTGTCATGTCCTTTGAGGTGGGTGAAGCCAGGAAGATGACAAAGCAGGTCGGGATCTGAGAATACCCCACGTGAAACCTGAGCTCCTCATCACACAACCAACAAGAACTGCAGAACTTTAGGACACAATGTTTGCACCGGGGCTCACCTGTTCCCGGCCACTCACTCGGGGTGGAGCCTTCCTTTGCACAGCCACCTGGAAGCTCCGGGTAAAGCTGACCCCTCAGTCAACTCACATTTATGAAAACAAAAGCCACACGGCACGGCAGCTGAGGGCAGAGAACCCCAAAGTCTTGCAAGCTCGCCCATACATCGCACGTGGTCCCGACGGAAGGCCCTCACTCAGGGGTCCTTCACGCTGGAGGAGAGAGTCTCTTATACGCCCTTGACGGAGGAGGAAAATGATAAAACTCCGTTTTTAAAGAGTCTTCAGAGTCAGTATTGTTCCCTTTGTAAAATATGCAGGTATTTATGTATAGTCTTTAAATTGCCCTAAAGAGAATCCTGCTCTCTTTCCAGTTCCAATTTGCCAGGAGCCCACTCGTCAAGCACCCAGCAGGGAGCTGCCTGCCTGGTTGGAAAGGCTGCGCTTCCAGCCGAATGCACCTTGTATTTGTTTCCTTAAAGACATGAGACTCACAGAGCTTCGGCAGATCAGACATCTTCCACAGAACAGCCCAGGACAGGAAACCGAGGACGGCAACTGCTGCTTATTGGAGTCCCAGCCCGGCAGGGACCAGCAGGACGCGCTCGGCACCTCGCTCAGTGTGGCAAGGCCCAGGCGTCTAGACAACAGTAAGTCCCTCGGTGGCGGGGGGTGAGTCAGATGGATCCTGTCTGCCGTGTTTGTGTTCTTAAAACAGCCGTTCCCTGCGCAGGCTGAGATGCATGGGAGGGATGTGGAAGAGTGCCGTGGGTCCAGACGCTGGGACCAGGAGAGGGTTCCAGAGAACGGAAAGCTCCAGGTTCCCAGTCAACTCTGACCCCAAGACGTTGAGTGGCTTGGGAGAGCTGACACAGCCCCGTCTCCTCAACCGCAGAACAGAGGTTGCGTGTGGCATGGACGGGCCCGCTCAGCTGGGCATCTCTCAGCTCTTTGAGCCGGCTCCACAGGGGTTTAAAGAGGAGCGCGACCGTGTTGAAGGGCACTGTGGATGCTCGGGACCTGGGCAGGCAGGGCCAAGTCGCACGGACTGCAGCGCAGAGCGGTCAGGACATAGGCAGAACGAGATAATGCTCGGTGACACCCAGAGGGCTCTCTTGGAAGAAAATCAGCAACTGAGAAACGGGCGTAAATCATCCACGTAGACTTCCTGACACTGAGGGTTCCTGAGCCCCGGAAAGAAATGACTCATGAAGAGTGAAGGATTAACTTCTCTGGGCATTTAAATAATTCTTACCCATGTGTCTTTTTACCAAAGTCAGTTTTCAACAGTTAGGAAAAAATTGCCAGGATGGAGAGAGACGCAGGAAACGGTCATCTCCACGTCGTTTCACGCCAGGTGGTGACGTGGGTCCAATCTTCGTGGCAACACATCAGAGGACGTCTGACTGTTGATGTCCTCTGACCCACAGCGTCACTTCCGCGAAGGTGTCCTCAGACATAGGATTCGGCGCCTGGGCCTGGTGAATTGTCCGTTAGGGTGACAGGAGGAAACGCTGATAACCTCCTATAGGAGATGACTTGAAATATTTATCACAACCGCACAGTGGATGCTGTTCTGCCCTCAAAAGTTGCAGTGCAGAAGAATATATATTTAGCCATGGAAAGATGATCAGGAGGGGACACGCAATTTTTAAAGCACTGTATACACACAATGTTTTTTTATGCAGCCATGCATCGCTTAACAATGGGGATACTTTCTGAGAAACGCGTTGTTAGGCAATTTTGTTGTTGTGTGAACATCATAGAGTGCACTTACACGAACCTAGATGGTGTAGCCACTGCACACCTTGGCCATGTGGCACTGATCCTATGGGACCACCGCACAGCAACGTAGCTGGAAGGATGTGGAACAGGGGTCATCACTAGGAGGTGGGGATTATGGCATTCTCAATGATTTTTCTCTATACTTATATTTTTGGAATTTTCTATATAGACCATATCTTGCTATTGCAATAAAAATAAACCTATTTTTAATTTAAGAAAAGTCAGTCCTCAATGACAATATATTTCAGTAGAAGGGACACAGATAAAATGAGATGAATTATGGTTTAATTAGGGCACAAGATACGGTGCAGAGGGCAAACAGAGAAGGGGTCAATGGAAGCTGTGGACAGAGGAGGTGATCTGGGAAGGCTTCCTGGACGTGAGGTCTGGGGTTCTAACTAATTTGCAATTGACCAGCAGGAAGGCACAGGCTCCCATTCCCTGCACTTAGGAAGGAGGTGCGGCCAGCTGTGTGGCGCTCCAGGGTGGGAGGCTGGGGGGCTGGCCGGGGACAGGCGGAGGACGGCCACATGCCATGGAAGATTCTATCCTGTTGGCAGCTTTATGGAATTGTCGTGAATTAAAAGCATGTTTCCACAAGAAACAAAGGAAGGTTTTTTTTTTTTCCCCCAGCAGCCTGTGAATTAACTGACAAAGGAGACCAGCTTGTATTTTTCTGTTTCTGATTTAAGAAGTCACTTTTGCAGTCTGTGACAGACGCAACTGCATTACAGAAGGAGTGGGAACCAGAGTCGAGGGCAGGGCACGGATCCCGATCCCAGAGCACGTGCCTCCAGACTCAAGGAACAGAGCAGCGATCGTCGGACGCCACTGCGTCTCAGCAAATGCATCTTTCTCAGGGACCTCACGGTGCTGGAAACCCACGGCTCAACGCTCGAGAGTGGCCAAGTGTTCATTCCGGCACATTAAGTGGCTTTACGGTTTCCAGTGAATGAATGACGAATGATTTCTCTGCACAAGAGCCACCACCCTGGGCAAACCCAATTTGCAGTCTTTGCTGCATTTAATGACAATTACCTTAAATACCCACTTGCACACAGTGGTGAGCGGTATTTATATTTCTCAACAGGCGTTTTCCTAAGGGTCACCTTAGTGTATGTTCGGTGTCTCTTGTTTCTTGCTTTAAGGATAATGTGTGTTAAAAGATCCTTCTTATTTTTCAAGCAGCAGGCACAAGAGAAAAGAACCAGGGTTTTGTCATAAGATTCTCTTTCAGGAGCTGAATCCAAGGAGGAAAATACCATCAAACACTGCATCTCTCTTGGGGAAAGGTCGTCTTCATTTGTTCAACAAGTTTTCTTGTTTTAAATGCATACCAGGTTCTCTAGCCACTGGGGAGATAATTGAGAGCAAGACAGCTGGGCTTCTGAATTCCAGATTTTACAGGAAAGGACAATGGCTCCAAAGGAGGGCAGCCTCTTGGGGCCATCGTAGAACTCCATCTGGGCTGGTTGTGACTGTCACACAGTTAGGGGAGCATTATGGGAATCTGGGGGTCCAGAGAGGCTGGTTTGGGGGAAGCATGAAGCAATCCCACCCAATGAAGAATAGGCTCCTGTCTCATATGATTTGAATGTCTGTTTTCCTGTCTCTAATTGCCTGAGCCTTGCATCTAACTCTGCTTTGTATGTAAACCAAAGGGGTTTTTGTTTTTGCACGGTTATAAGCAACAATGGATTTTTCAAGAATGCAACTCACCATGTAAATTGAGGAAAGAGAGAAGTTTGTTTGGTTTGATGCTTTACCAAGAATTGTTTACCATTTCCAAAATCCCATCAGGTCGGCGAATCCACTGGAGGTTAATGAGTCATTTCACACTCATCTAGCGGTCTCATTGGCAGCTCTAAATTCCAGTGAGACGTCATCCAGAAACAGACTTCCGAATGCTTCATTCTGTACACGTCTGTCATTGTGCCCAGACATTTGTATCCTAAAATTTATGTTTTTAGTTAATAGCTACCTTGCTTTTATTTCTCTGTTACGTTAGATTTCGGGCACATTATACAAATAAATAAATACATTAATATATACATATATACTCAAAATAGTGTGTGTAGGTCAGTCATACATAAATTTCATTTTAGAACCGTCCAGGACACATTGTGAAATATTTGCTATAAATGGGACACTTGGTTTGATAAGTTTACGGGCCATTGTTATGGACAAGAAAGCTGTTTAGACAATTGCACGGATGCGTCATAAATGCAAGGAGTTTGAGGAGCACGTGGTGGGGTTACCAGGCAAATCTCGCAGGACCTGAGGAGGCTGCTCGTAAGACGCTGAGCTCAGTGCACCTGGAAGGCGGGCGCGGTGGGGACCAGGATGCAGAGCTCAGAGGCGGTGCAGGAGGAGGCCAGGCGTGCTCACCAGCTCAGGGACAGCACGGGCTTCCGAGGAGCCGAGTCCTGGTTCTAAACCTCATGATCCTTGGATGACACCAGCGGTTCTCAGCTGCAGGGAATTCTGCCCCTGGGGACACTTGGCAACATCTGGAGACAGGTTTGGTTGTCTCCAAAATGGGGTACTATGGGGTACTATTGGCAGCTAGTGGGGAGAGGCCAGGGACACAGCTCAATGTCCCCCACAAGGGAGACCTGTCCACCCAAATGTGAACAGAACCCAGTGAAGAAGTGCCGGATTCCAAGGCGGTTTCTGCCAGTGTGTCTGCGTCTCAGCAGATGGCATCAGGATCATGCTGCTCAGGTCAACTCTGGAATCTCTAGTGTGATTTGGTTGGGGAAGTTCTTTATTGTTTATTTATTTCTGTCTTTTGGGTTTTCCTCTGAGCCGCTGTTCAGTCGCTGACTTCATTTTCTTAAGGCCACACCTGCTTCCATTTCACTCCTTAAGCATGGCACGACCTGGCCTTGCAGGGCAGTGGTCCCAGGCTCCACACAAGCATCTCCAGCCCAGCCTGTCGTCACGCTGCCCCGCGGTCACTCAGTGACCTAGCTTCGTGTGCAGACCACCAGATCCGCCAGGGTGAAGACACACAGTGACGGGAAAGAGATCCCCCCAGGCCAGGGGAGGCTGTTGTGCGGAGGTGGGAGAAGCAGAACAGAGATCTCTACAGCCCTGTGCAAAGATCTGAGGGCTGTCCTGATAAGTGAGGTGCCCGTCCGGGCTGCACGAATGAGGACGCAGGCCTAGAGCACCGTGGACCCTCAACAAATGCTTACTGTATGGACAGGCACGGTCTCTCAGAATCTAAGATCTCTGAATCAAAGGAACCCAGGAGGTCTCATCACAACAGACCTTTGAGTTCCTGTCCTAAACCTTCCTATTGACAGTTTTAGTCACATCTCTTTCTTAACTGGTAAACTTAGATAGAACAGACTTACCCACACAATCCTGTAGGTTTATAGAATGATTTATGACTTTCAAAGTGCTGTTATTACACTGTCTGAATCTAACCACAAACTCCAATGTCTACAAGACCAGTGAGGTACAAGGTTGACCAGACTCACAAAACCCCAACATCCTTCCATGGAGAATTTATTCCAACAAACATTTCTTTTTTCTTTCTTCTTTTTTCTTTTGGCAAGGAAGATTGGCCCTGAGCTAACATCTGTGCCAATCTTCCTCTATTTTATGTGGGACGCCACCACAGTGTGGCTTGATGAGTGGTGTAGGTGTGCACCTGGGATCTGAACTTGCAAACCCCAGACCACCAAACTGGAGCACGTGAACTTAACCGCTGTGCCACTGGGCAGGCCCACCAACAAACATTTCTTGAATGCCCGTCCCAGGCACAAGACTCTGCCAGGTCCCCCAAACGATGCACTGAAATGAGACACAGCATGCCGGGGATGGCCCATATGCTGGTCGCTGTCCTGCATGCTAGTCACTGTCCTGTGTGCTGGTCATTCATTCTTCCTGTGTACAGGTCACTGTCCCTGTGTGCTGGTCACTGTCCCCATGTGCTAGTGATGGTCCTGTGTACAGGTCACTGTCCCTGTGTGCTGGTCACTGTCCCCATGTGCCAGTGATGGTCCTGTGTACAGGTCACTGTCCCTGTGTGCTGGTCAGGGATTAATATTTTGCATAAGTAAAACAAATTAAAAGGAGGGCAGAAAAAAGGATGCTCGGCAAAAGGGACAGTGGACAGAAAGAGCTTCAGGGGACGGTAGATCTGAGGGTGTGAGGACTGCAGAGGAGGGTGGCCCCGGAAGTGTCTGGAGAGACGGCGGGTCTGGAGTCAGGCCCGAGGGGCCAGAACACCACAGCGACGGCATCACCCTGCAGACATTTCCAAGGTACGAACACAGAGAAAGATGAGAGCGTTTTGCTTTTCCAACAATGACTACAGTGAACCCTGAATCTACTCATCATATTCCTTTAGATACATGCAGGTAAAAATTCTATATTTGTCTATTTTTAGGGTTTGCTAACTACAAGCAGAGTTGAATTCTCTCCCACTGCCATAAAAATGGTATTTTATCCAAGTACCAATTTGTCTCTTTGAATAAATCTGCCTATAAAAGCCACTGGGCTAGCCTTTCCCTTTAAAACAGAACCCGTGGGTTTTGGGCCACGCACCAGGATGGCAATTGGAGTTGCTGAGATGATTTGCAACCACCTGACTCCTGAAAAGATGCGCAGTTGTTTGTCTGTTCCATTAATTGACTGCCTGGTGACTCACCCGGCATCCAGCACTATTACTCATCGTGGGAAGATCTCTCCAAACCCAGGCACGGCCCCCAGCAACTGCTGCCAGGCAAGCAGAGGTGGTGGCAAACCGGGATGCAAATTATGTACCTATGAAAGAAAAACTCCAGACTTCCAAGTTTTGCTAGTAGCACTGTTAGTTGATACAAGTAACTGCAGAGGCATCTTTATGGGGGGGTGCCTCTTGGGGGCCTGATGCTTCCCCTGGGGTACTCACACACTCAGTGATGGCGTGATTAGGAGGCAGAGAGGAGAGGGAAATGATAGAAAACTGAATTCCGCGATATGCCCCCTCTAGCCATCCACTGTCTTTGATTTGCTTTCACCTTTGGTAAACTCGTTTCCTCCACACCCCAGAGGAACAGCTGCATTTTCCGTAATCATGCTCATTGCTATTTGGAAACTTAAAGATGCTACTCTCGGGTGTGGTCGGAGAACTCACTCAAGCCGATTTCCAGCGGGGCAAACCAGCCACTTTGCAAGGAGAAAACATTACAGTGGGCTAATACATTTTGTTGCCGTTGCTAAATCCTCCAGCCTTGGAGGTACTGAAGGAACGGCCCTTCATACCTAGGGCTGTGGTTTAAAGGAAGAATTAGGATGTCCACGGCTTTCCCAGAGCAGGCCAGCCCACCTGCCTGCCACGGTTTGCTGGGAAGACGTGACGGGAAGCAGCAGTCACGCCGCGGGCGTCCTTACCTGAAGGTAATGGCACGGCCTCAAGGGCGGCTTGATCTCCGGGTGGACCAGGGGCTTGTCCAAGTTCAGGGAGCTCTTGCGATAAGCCTCCTTGGCCTGGCTCACGGTGAGCGTGGACCAGGAGCTGCGCTTCATGTACTTGGCCTCGGGCGTCATGGCCAAGCCCTCGCAGGCTGAGCACTTGACGTCGTTATTACTTTTGGAAGTCTTCAGGGAGAGGTCCCCAAAGGGTCCCTGCAGCGGGCCCGGGTAGCAGTGGGAGGCGAGGTCCATGTGGTGCCTGTTGATCACGCTGGAGGTCCGGTAGGTGCTGTCGCTGTCCAGATTGTCGTCGGAGCTCCACCAGCTGCTCAGGCCCGACTTATGCTTGCTCTCGGGCTTGCGTTCCTTGCTTTTATTCCGTTTACTGTGTTTAACATGGTGGCCGTGGTGGTGGTCATCCACCCGGCTGTCCCCCTTGGTCCCGTTGACGTTGCTCTTGGAAGAGCCTTCTAAAGAATGGGACTTGGTGAAGAGCTTTTGGACGGAATGGACGAGGTGTCGTATCCGCCCCGGGCTCTCGCTGCGCTGCTCCGCGGCACTGGAGGTCCTCTGGTATTGCAGCGTGTGGAAGCCGTCCCTGTGCAGAGGGAGCTGTTTCTCAAACTGGTCCAAAAGATTGGCGGGAATCCGGTTGATTTTAGTGCTGGCGTGAGACATGGCACAGTCGTCTCTGGTGTCGTAGTGGGAGCTGTAGTGCATCCTGGGGAAGGTGCTACTGGACATGTGGTCGCCCAGCATCATGGGCATCATCATGCACTCGGAATGGATGGAGCTCCGCGGGGAGCAGCGGTGGTGATCCATGAGGCAGCTCTCCGCCGGGCTGAGCAGGTGGGGCTGCCGCGCTTCCTGCCCGTGGTGGAGGTGGTCGTGGGCATGCTCACAGTCATCAGGCGGTGTTAAGCCACAGGTATGACCCGAACACAGCTGTGGTTGATTTCGACTCCCGGATAATCCTTTCATATTCCTAGGAGCAGGCGAGTATCTTTCTTCATTGAAGTGCTGAGTCGGCGACCATGAATACTGCTGGTCTGGGGAGAAAACACAGAAACGCCATTTACGACTTTGTGGGAATATCGACAAAAGCCCTTACGTGTTGGAGAAGTAAAATATTAACACCCCATGCAGGAACTACTTTTATCCAGTAGTCAGTGGTCATTTTCCACCGGGCATTCAAGTGGGCAACTGCTTTTTTATACCACACTGACTTCTTCAAAGTGTGAGAATATTAGAGAGAGTAAACTTTGATATTTCCAAACACTCCTGAATGTATTAAACAAATAAACAATTTGGGGGAAAAATGAGTTATATTTCAATTAGATTTGAGTACTGTGGTTCAGTTTAAGAAGTTTAAAAAAACAACAGCCGCTATTTAATCAGCGGCATTGCCCGGGGAGCGAATGTGCTGCACACTAGTGTACTAACCACGAGGTCGTTCAAGGCCACGTCCTTGCTGTGCAGGTCAGGAGAGGGGCTTTCTCAGGGACGTCTGTCTGTGTCCAAAGGAGGACGAAACCAGGACGTCCTGACATTCTATTTCCAATATTCGGCTTTGAACTGTAAGATTCTGCCCAGTCAAGAAAACAAGGGTTGATTATGTGACCGGCAATGTTATACACAGGTCAACAGGAGGCGACCTCGCAGAAGACGTTGGGTCTGTGGCCGTGGGCTGTGGACCGGCCCCTGGACTTCTTGCTAGGGAGGCGGTCGGTGCAGTGGTTGAAATGCTAGCATCTGGAGATGGACTAGTTGGGTCAGGGCCCTGGTCCGGCCACCTCCGGGAGTGAGGCTCCAGGCGGTGACCTGTGCTCTCTAGGTTCTCCTCCCTCAGCTGTGGGCAGGGACACAGGACACCGGCAAGGCAACAGGCCGTGTTCCAGGGGGAGGACCCTCAGACCATTCATTACCTACACTATTATTGTTGTCATGGTTTCATTTGAATTCTCTTGGGTCAGCATTTACAAAGCTCAGAGTTTGTTAAACCTGAGGAACTGGATCCCGGGATCCCCAGAGAGCCCTGCTTTGCCTCTGCTTCCTGCTGTCCCAGCGTTTCTGTTTCAGCCCCAAATCAGGGCCTGCTTCCAATTGCTGGCCAAACAGATGCAGGAAACACAGGCTCTGTTAGAGTATGTAATATACCTATATATGTAGTACATATTGCATTTATGGAATGTAATACGCACGTAATAACATGCAGGAAACACAGACTCTATATAGTATGTAATATGATGTATAATGCACAGATCCATATGTAATATGCATGTAGAGTATATAATATGCATGTAATATAATATATACAGGAAATACATAATATAATATTTAATATGCATATATAGTGTGTATACAATGCATATATGTATACATAATGTGTATATACAGTACGTAATATACATATAATATGATATATTCAGGAAATACAGATTCTAGTATATAATATGCATATATAGTATGTATATAATATGTATATCCATATATAATATACATGTATAGTATGTATGGATAATGCATATATCCATACAATATGCATATATAATATATAGTTCATATATAGTATATAATATATCCAGGAAATACAGATTATATTATAGTATATAATATGCATATATAGCATGTATATATAGTGCATATATGTGTATATAACGTGTACATAGGGTATGTAAAAGGCATATATAGTATGTATATAATATGCACATATCCATATGTTATATGTATATATAGTGTATATATAATGCATCTTTGTATACATAATGTATATATAGTGTGTAATATGCACATAACATGATATATTCAGGAAATACAGACTCTAGTATATAATATGCTAGTATAAAATAATAGTATGTATGTAATACACATATATCCATATATAATATGCAAATATAGTATGTATATAATGCACATATGTATACACAATGTTTGTATATAGTATGTAACATGCATATAATATGATATATTCAGGAAATATAGACCCTAGTATATAATATGCATATCTAGTATGTATATATTCACATATTATATAAATGTGTAGTATGTATATAACACATATGTCCATGCAGAATATGCAATATATAATATGTATATATAGCATGCATGCATAATGCATATATCCATATAGAATATGCATATGTAGTGTATAATATGCATATTATATGCAGGAAATACAGTCTATTATAGTATATAATATGCATATATAGTATGCAAACAGTGCATATATGTGTATATAATGTGTATATATAGTATATAATATGCATGTACTATGATATATTCAGGAAATTCAGACTCTAGTATATAATATGCGTATAGTATGTATATAATATGCATATATCCATATAGTATATTACAGGTATAGTGTGTATATATAATGCACATATCCATATATAACATGCACATAATGTGATATATGCAGTAAATACAGGCTTGGGAAGCTGATTCCAACAGGAAAATGGTGGGAAGAACCCGTGAGGCAGAGGGCCCAGGAACGGCCTGTGGGCTGAGCCCAGAGAGGCTCTGAGGGCCCAGCAGCCTCAGCCCACTGGACCTGCGCAGCCAGCCTTCTGTCCCTGGGGTAGTGGAGACCAGTTGGCTCCCCGGGCCAGGGCCCCGTGTCCCTCTGCACAGCCCCACGAGGACGAGCACGAAGGCTGTGCACTCCTCTCCCGCCTCCCGCTAGGAGCCCTGCTGTCAGCGCCTGCAGAGCTTGCTCCGAGTTGCCAGGAGCCCTGAGGCTGCAGTTATGACACAGCAGAGTCTGTTTCGTGACACCTGAGGCGGCTTCCTCTCTCCGTCTGCCCCAGCAGCCCTCTGGAGAAGGAGGCCCTCTGATGTTCTCCCTTTCTCTGCCTTCCCTCTCGTCTCCCGACTTACTCTCACTTCCTCCTCTGCCCCACCCTGGTCCTCAGCTCACCCTTCACTTGCTGCACCCGTGGCCTTCAGCCCAAGGCCCTGCCCTGCTCAGACCCCACGTCCTCAGCCCCGGGGCCACAGCAGGAGCCCCCAACTGCTCTTCTTTCGTCCACGTCACCCAAACATCGCTGCAGGCCTGTGTTTCCCCAGACACCCTCACCAGCTCATTCCCTGCCCAACAGCTCACCCGCTTACCAGCAAGTCCCAGCACCTCCACCCGTTACCAGGGGCCACCTCTCCGACGGCAGCCTCCGTGATGGCGGGGTTTGCTCTGAGACGGCTCTAGGCCAGCCCCAGCACGTGCCAGGCACAGAGCACATGCCCAAGGCTTGTGATGACCAGATGAGCCCGCCGGAGCCCCTCGTTCAGACCCTCGTGCACATATCTGTGAAGCTACTGGGTTTGATCACACGGAACTACTGCTAGTTCTAATCAGTACCCCACAGGTTCTTTCCACCTTCTGCTCCCCAGGCTGCTGCACCGTCCTCTCCTGTGTTCACTCTCCGAGACCCAGCTCCAGTGCAACCCAACCTGCATTCAGACAACGCCTGGAGAGTGCCTACTGTGCGCTGTCCTCGAGGCGGAAGGTCCAGACCGGAACGAGAGGTGGACCTCCTCGAGGTGCTAGGGCATCAGGTCCTCAGGATGAAGCTGTCTGAGTCCCGCTCCCCTCACCCGCACGGCCCAACACCCCTCCCCAGGGCCAATGGCACCCCTCAGTCCAGCTCGTGTAACTAACCCTGCCCGCCTGTCCTCCACCACCAGGAGCGTCTCTCCCACTTACTCCTCTCTAACGTCCCCTCCCCTGAGAGATACGACCTCAATCCTGGAGCAGGCGACACCCAGAACTCATAGAGCCATCCACCCTGACTCCTCCCCCAACAGACTCCATGCAAACACCTAGGGGGACCGCAGGAAACGGGAGAGAAAACTGAGACTCCAGGCTCCTCTGGATTACTTTTACTCAACTCTCTTGGGGGTCGATGTCAGGAAACACCATCACTTCCGAGAACATTTGCCAGATGACTGGTGCTAGCTATGGGTTCAAAGGTCTGCATTTCAGGCTCAGGGACCGCCCTCATCCAGGCCAGCTCAGACATGGAGATATCTCGTAAGGAAGGGCCATGACCTCACGGATCCCTAAGAAGTTAGGGGCGAGACCTATGACACCGGGAACGATCGACAGCAGCAGAGAGCGCAAACATTGCTTGAGGAACCCCAGTGGACTCAGAGTAGGAGTGGGGCTGCCTCTCATCCCAAGGGCACACAGGGATCGCTCCTGCATGTTCTCCGAGTCACGGATCAGTGAATCCTTTATCTCCAAAGGCAGCTTCCCTTTATCTCAATTCAAGGTACTTCGCTGTCTCACGGGAGTGGGGATCCCGTAAACCTCCTCAGTCTTTCCTCTCTCAACAGCCAAATTACCGCTAGAACACTTCAATATATTAGGAGGGGATATTTTAGCTTATGTTATATTTTAATATAATTAAAGGCAAGTTTTCAAAGGAAATTCAATATTCAACTCATAAATAGCAAAGCTGTGTGCTGTAATCTAGACGTTATAGCAGCACAAAGTGGTCATCCTATTATCTTTCGCTTTATTTTTCCATTAACACGTAATTTAATACAATCCTAATATTCCTCCATATTAAAAACCAAGTCCTTTACTGCTCCACTCACGTATCGTATGTCTGCCTCATGTTTATCCTGGAAGCTACGTTATGAATGTAGCTGCATAAAAGAACAGCATAAAAGATAAAAGTTCAACTGAACGGAATTAAATTTGATTATGCGACACGTTGATAACACATTCTCATTTCCAGTGTACAGGATGAATTCCCTGACGGACGCCTGGAAACTTACACATTACCCTCGAAAACAATACCACAAGCACAACAGACAGGATAAGTGGACTGTAACTAATGGCAACACCAGAGCGTCTAACAAGGACTTGGACGATTGCTTTCTTATAAGTCCATGTAACATGTCATAAATCCTTAGGGCCTGGCAGTTTCTCTTTGTGACAGTGAGGTGACAAACAAAAATGTGGATGATGTCTTAGCTTCCTAACTTCTAGCTACTCAGGACATCACATTTTTTTTAATTGGTTTTATTTTTACTGGTCCTACTT